TCCTGTGAGGTGAACATTTTTAAGCTAAATCTCAAAAATTTTACTACAGAGGCAAACTTCCTGAAAAAAATTTATTACAACCAATTGAAGGATAAATCAAAATAAAGAACTCAAAAATGACACAGTTCTGTTATAAAATTGCTGCTAGTGAACAATAAACTGGTTGTTAGAACACTAAAGAGTATAATTATCTAAGCTAATTGTTGCAAAAGGAGATAATTACAATGGTCAAAAAAAGAAAAGCTCAATGCTAATCTTCATCTAAAATTCTAGCTTAATTCATTAAAAACAAGTTAAGTATAGAAAGAAACAGAGAGAGAAAAAGAAAGAAGGAAAAGGATAATAAATTTTGCAACTTACTAAGAAGAGAGTAAAAGATAGTATTTGATTTTTTTAGGTCAATAATTAATGATTATGTATTTGAATTTTGATTGGGATAAAAATTAACATAGAGGGACCAGCAGTTAGCGTAATGGCTATTTTGCTGGACTCCCACGTAGTCGACCGTGGTTCAAGTCCTGGACCCAGTGGCTTAAACTCACGCCAGGCACGTGTGTATGCATGCCCAAGATCCCGAGAGGAGAATGGAGGAGAAGGGATTGCGGCGTGGCCATCCCCTCTGGGAGGTGATTTCTCACTTTCTGTCTCTCTGTCTCTGTCTGTCTGTCTGGCAAGTGCATGTGCCCTATAGCAAAAACCTTTCAAAAAAAATTACCATAGAACAGAATATGTTTTATTCATATCATTAAAAAGAACAAAGAAAAAAAATAGTACTGGGAAAATGCTAAACTATTGACTAAAATTAACTAGAGTACAGTTCACTCTGGAAGTTCCAAAATCGCTAGTTAGTTAACATGTTAGTTGGTAAGGGAGCTAGTTTTTTTAAGTTTATTGTCTACTTTCTCAAAAATAATAAATAATAGGGAACCAGCAGTTAGCATAATGGCTATGTCGCTGGACTCCCACATAGTCGGCTGCGGTTTGCATCCCGGACCCCGTGGCTTAAAACTCATGCCGGGCGCGTGTGCGTGCATGCCCAAGATCCCGAGAGGAGAATGGAGGAGAAGGGATTGCGGTGTGACCATCCCCTCTGGGGGGTGATTTCTTGCTTTCTGTCTCTCTGTCTCTCTCTGTCTGGCGAGCGCATGTGCCCTATAGCGAAAACCTCTAAAATAATAATAATAATAATAAATGATAATTTATAATTTAGAAGGGTTTGTGGTATTTTCCTGTGCATACATAATTATGCAAGCATAGAAAAAACACAGCAAGATGTCAACAGAGTTTACCTAGACAAAGTATCTCGGAAAACTTTCTATTTTTCTTTTATATTTTCCACTCTTTAATAATGGACACATATTACTTTTTCAATAAGAAGAAAATAATGAATACATCTTTTTAAAAGAACCTTTAAATGTATATATTCAGTTATTTTCATGGAAAGTCAAGACAATAGTACCCTCTCACTGGAGTCAATGGAATTTTTTTTTTTTTGGAGAGGTTTTTTTTTCACTATAGGGCCCGTGCGCTCACCAGACAGACAGAGAGAGACATAGACACAGAAAGCGAGAAATCACCCCCCAGGGGGGATGGTCACACCGCAATCCCTTCTCCTCCATTCTCCTCTCAGGATCTTGGGCACACACGCACATGCGCCCGACGTGAGTTTTAAGCCACCGGGTCCGGGATGTGAACCGCGGTCAACTGGGAGTCCAGCAACATAGCCATTACACTAACTGCTGGTTCCCGAGTCAATGGAATTTTTATAGGTAAAAAGTTGATCAGTAATAGTAGAGAGCTCAAAGAAAATACATTTGAAGTGGAAAATAATGAAGACATTAGTCAATTCAGATAAAACCTGAAGTAAAACAATAGCTCCTTTTTAGAAATCTTGCTTATTTGAAACAGAGCCTCAAGACAATAAGATACCCAAACGGCTCTGAGCAATTTTAAAAAGTCACAAAAAACCATGTGCTGCACTTCATACACTTGATATAGAGTCGGAATCCTTGAGACATTACTTAGAACCTAATCTTTTTTTTTAAAGTGTGTAATACTATAACCTTATTTTATTTTATTATTCTAGAGTAGATTAGGAGCTTAAAACATGGAAAAGAGTGACCCTTAGGAACACTGATGATTCCAATAAAAGATAAGCAATAGAGAAGGAGGGGAAAGACATAAAAATTATAGCCAGGAATCAGCAGTAATCTTGATGTAGTAACCGTAGGACACAAATAGCCTATAGGGCCTGTGCTCTCATCAGAGAGAGACAAAGAGAGAGAGAGAAGGTACCCCCCTCTTTCAGGGGGGATAGCCACGTCACAGTCCCTTCTCTTTTATACTCCTCTTTGGAGTTTGGGAACACACACACCCACACATCCCCCAGGTGTGATTTTCAAGTCACTGAGTTTGGGATTCAAACCACAATGTCAGCCATGTGGAACCTGGCTGCCTTAACCACTAACCCCCAAGGTGGCCCAGGGTAAGTTTATTAGATCATTTGCATTGTTGGAAAATTTCAGTCCTTGCACCATTGTAGTATCTTGGCAAGTTTCATGTTTAAGAATATAAAAACACCAATTTACATTCCTTGTTGTACCTCTCAGATATTGAAAGTACAATTAATATTATTTATATATATATATATACTAAGCAAATATAACTCTTTGTCATTTCTACCACAGTCTTTGTCAGTTTTGATACAAATTATAATTAGTCATTAATGAAAACAGAAGGCCAAGCAAAGTCTGTACCTTAATTACGCTAGTGTGCTGGGTATGAATTTTGAAATGATTTGATGACACTATTCTTGAGTGTCTAACCTCCTTCAACTCTATTTATTTAATGCACTTATTTTGCATTCCAATGCGAAGTGTCTTAAGTACTCCCTCATTGTTACACAATTAGTCTTATTGATGACTTTTCTCCATTGATTCTTAGGGGAACAGCCAACGCCTCTGTCAGGAGGACGGACAGTGGAGTGGAGAGGTGGCAACATGCAAAAGTAAGTTAAATGACACTGAGCTCTCCTGAAAATGATACTATGGATCAAAATATAACAACAACATGGCAACATTTTCCTTATAAAAATCAGTTTGGGGATTTTTTTAAAACATTTGAAGCCTATTCCATATACTGTATGAGAACTTTCAGTGGGCTTCTGCTCAAGGGCACCAAACCAATAAAAGGGTCAAAACTGTCATAGAAACTAATGATTAAACCAGACTAGAGCACAAGATTGCTTACTGCAGAATGGCAAGTATGTTAGAAACAAGTTAACTATTGTTTATTTGCATTTTTGTGGGGGTTTTTTCTAAATAATTCTAAGATGGAAGGCTTAGAGCTATTGTTTTCTGTGACTGCCCTTGTTAATACTGACATCTTTTTAAACTGCTGTTGGTACATATATCAAATAAACAAATATTTATATTGTTTAGGAAATGTTATATTAACTCACTTTATGAGAATAGCCAAGTTTATTGGATAACATATCCCAGAATATGGTCCATGTGCTTCCTTTGTCAAAAGCACACTTCTTTTAATAATTATTTTATGGGGCCAGTAGGTAACATGGTGGTTAAGGTAGCTGGACTCCCACATGGCCAACCGTGGTTCGAGTTCCAGACATGGCGGTTTGCCTTCTCATTTTCTCTCTCTCTTTCTCCCACTCTGGCCAAATTAAAATAAATGAATAAAATAAAATGAAATGAAAATAATAAAAATATTTTAATTATTTTATTTAACTTTCTTTATTATTATTATCTTTTTTTCTTTTTTAAATTCTGACGCAGAGAGAGAAGGAGGGGGAATGAGAAAGCAAGCCTCCAGGTCCAGAACTTGATCCACAGTCAGCCATGTGAGAGTCCAGTGCCTTTAACCACCATGCCACCTACCAGCCCCAAAATGTAAAACTTTTTTTAATCATGATAATCCTTCTGGGGTCATCAAATTTTCAAACTGAAAGGGATCTTTTAGATTACCTAATCCAGCCCCTTTGAATGAAAAATGAGTGAGGATTAGGAGAAGCAAAAAGATCTTCCCAGTAACAGAAATCAAGTTAGTGGCCAAGCTGGCACCAGAACTCCAGATACTTGAATACTTGATCACTATCATTTCAACCATATTTTATAGGACAGAGAAATTAGCTGATTTTGTGTGTATATAATCCTAAATCTTTTAAGGGATGATTGCAACTCACTATAGAATATTAACTGTATTTAGTTCACAAAAACATGTATAAATTCTATATAGAAACACTTTTAAATATTGAGTAACATCTTAAGTCACAGAAACAAATCATCTATTTAGGACTTTGGGCATTCATAATAATAGTATTTTTTTTTAAATCTCAATTGCTCATGATCAAAAACTTTGTGTATGTCTGCACGGAGGAAGGGGAGGGGGAGTGAAAAGGAAATACAGGTGTCTGGCACTGGAAACCTGCGTGGTGTTGGTGACAGGATTGCTTTAGTTTTGGAGCAGGTTTAATTCAAACTATAAGGACAATGGGTTGCATATTTTTTATCTCAGAAATACAAGATAGAATAGAAAAGTCTATTACTGGGGCCAGCAGGTGGAGTGGTGGTTGCGGGTGCTGGACTCCCACATGGCCGATCCACCACGGTTAGAATCCCGGACCTGGCGGCTTACTTTCTCACTTTCCCTCTCTTTCTCTCTCTCACTCTGTCCCTCTCTGGTCAAATTAAATATAAATAAAGTTAAATAAAATAATTATTTAAAAAAATGAAAGTCTATTACTATATCCTATTATACTCTATATCCTATTATTCCTGTGGTTTTCTTTTCTTTTTCTCTTCAAATTATTAAATAAGTCATATGAGTTATTTGCAAGAAATTAGATAATACGAATAAACAAAAAGAAAACATCAATTCTACCACTCGGATAAAAACTATTGATACTTTAATATCTTTTATTATGTACTTTTTCCCTAGGCATATTTTGGGGGGGGAGAGGTTTTTGCTATAGTGTGCGTGCACCTGCCAGAAAGACAAGACAGAGACAGACAGAAAGTGAGAAATCACCAACCTCCCCAGGGGAGATGGCCACACCACAATCCCTTCTCCTCCATTCTCCTCTCAGGATCTCGGGCACGAACACACATGTGCCCTGCGTGAGTTTAAGCCACCAGGTCTGGGACTCGAACTGCAGTCAACTACATGGGAGTCCAGTGACATAGCCATTACACTAACTGCTGGTCCCTCCTAGGCATATTTTTTAAAATACAAATATTTATGAGAGAAATGCTGGTACTGAACAACCTGATCTGTAAGATCCTTACATCCTTACATACATCCTTAAGATCTTTACTAAATTATCCAATATGTTGTTACCTGTCCTCTCTTAAGAGTTTAGGGAAGCGTATGCTAGTCATCAGGATTGCCTAGACCTATGATTGTCAGCATGGCCCACAGACTATCAGCACCAATTGCACCTGGGATTTGTTCCAATTTCAGAATCTGGGCAGCCCCATAGTACCGTGGTTAAAGTGCTACGCATAGGAAGCTGGATCCCACACAGTCAACTGCAGATCAGATCTTAGCCCCGGAGGCTTAATAAACATGCCAGGCACGTGTGAGTGCCCCAAGTCCTCATGGGAAAGAAAATGGAAGAAAAAGGATCGCACCATGATGACATTCCATTGCGGGTTCCTTCCCTCCTTCTGTCCTTCCTTTCTTCCTTTCTCTTTCTCCTCTCTTCTCTCTCCTGGTGAGTGCCCTCTGACAGTTTAAACAAAAAAACTTTCCAGGCTGAAGAACCACAAAGAAATCAATCAGCTTCTAACCCAGGGACTCTCAATTCTCAGTGTGCATTAGAATAACTTGGACTTTTTTTTTTTTGGAGGGGTTTTTGCGATAGGGCACGTGCGCTTGCCAGACAGACAGAGACAGACAGAGAGACAGAAAGCGAGAAATCATCCCCCCAGGGGGGATGGCCACGCTGCAATCCCTTCTCCTCCATTTCCCTCTCCGGATCTTGGGCACGCACGCACATGCGCCCGGCATGAGTTTTAAGCCATAGACCGCATACACCACGGTGATCCCATGAGACTACAGTAGGCTACACCGTAGAACCTTCCTGTGTAGTACCATCTAGGCTTGTGTAAATGTACTGTATGATCTTTGCAGAATAACGTTATTGCCTAACAAGTTTATTAGAATGTTTCCCCATTGTCAAGCAATGCATGACTGTGCATAAAGACAGGTGGAGTCAATCTGACCACATAGCAATCTTAAATTGCCCGAACGTATTAATGTATTATTTACAGATGCTATTTTTCTTCTTTTAATAAGTCTTATTGTGCCCCACATAAGTAAGCAGTAATTATTTTTTATGTTGCTTTGTCGCAAAAGAAGGAAAAAGAGTCTGAAAATATATTTAACATGAGGCTCTTGTTCTTTTTAGAAACCAGGTGTGAAGCTCCATTGGGGTTTCTGAACGGAAATGCTGATATTGAAAACACTACAGCTGGACTCCGTGTGGTATTTTCCTGCAACAGAGGCTACAGTCTTGAAGGGTCGCCAGAGGCACACTGCACTGAAAATGGAACTTGGGGCCAACCCACTCCTCTCTGCAAACGTGTGTGTTGACTTTAGGATAGGCTTTGTTTTGTTTTGTTTTGTTTCATTTTCTAAGAATTTAATGTGTCAACAAATACAGAAAAATAAGCATAGCAAACAAATATTTTTGCTTGTTTAGTAATTTTTTTTTCTTTTTTTTGAAGAGGTTTTTGCTATAGGGCTCGTTTGCTAGCCAGACAGACAGAGAGAGACAGAGAGACAGAAAGTGAGAAATCACCCCCCGGGGGGATGGCCAAGTCGCAATCCCTTCTTCTCCATTCTCCTCTCAGGATCTTGGGCACGCACACACATGCACCCGGCATGAGTTTAAGCCACCGGGTCCGGGACTCAAACCTTGGTCAAATACATGGGAGTCCAGCGACATAGCCATTACATTAACTGCTGGTCCCTTTTTATATATGTATTTTTTTCTTCTTCTTCTTGTTTAGTAATTTTAAAGATACTTCATCAACAAGTATTTTTGGTCCATACAAGAGGTTATCTCTACAAAATAACGTTTATCTTCTTGTGGAATAATGTCATAGTTTCAGATATTAGCCAAGAAAAACAAGATTCATGCTGGTAAAGCAATCTGCAAATCCTGCCTGTTTTTGTAATTAGTACACTTTAAAATTCTTAGAAAGATTTTTCCAAAGTGGGAAAGAATACACTTAAAGGCGATGGCAGTGGGACCAGCAGAGGGTGTAATGGTTACGTCACTGGACTCCCATGTAGTCAACCATGAGTCCCAGACCCGGTGGCTTAAAACTTGTGTGGGGAGTGGAGGGCATATGTGTACATGCATGCGTGCCCAAGATCCCAAGAGAAGAATGAAGGAGAAGGGATTGCAGCATGGCGATAGGCTTTAATCAGATTCAGTTACATGATTAGCTTCCACATACCTGAAACCCAAAGGAAATATCACTAAAAAGCAAGACTGGTCCACAGAAAGCTATCTGAGCACATTCTACCTGAATTCTATGGGGTATTTTTAAAATCTACTTATATTGGGCTGGCTCTGTGGTGTGGTGGTTAAGGCAGCTGGATCCCACATGGCCAACTGCACAGTTTGAGTCCTGGCAGCTTAATAAACACACCAGGCACATATGCATACATGATCAAAATTCCAACAGGAGGGAGAGACGGAGAAGGGACTGCAGAGCGACCATGCCCATGGGAGGTGCTTTCTCCTCTCCCTCTCTCTCTGCCTCTCTGTCTCTCTCTGGTGAACATAGGCACGCTCGAGCACACATACACACAAAATCTACTTGTATTATCTAAAATAGCCTGAGAATCAGCTTTTAACAGACTCTCTGGATGATTACAAGTCCAAAGCATTAAAAGAAAATACAAATAAAATTTAAAACTGGGCCTAAATGCATAATACATTCTTTGGGGGATAGTAAAATAGGGAGGAAAGAAAATATGCTTTAAGTGCAATAGTAATATAGTAAAATATACATAAATATAGCAAGTAAGGGTAACTAGTTATAACCACTCGTATAAAACAATATTCACAAGCAAGGTATGAACTGAGAGAAATCTGGTTATGATTTAAAGTATCATAATGGAGTGACTAGCTTTTAGGATTCAACACTCTCCTGCCTTGCTCACAAAGACTCCTCCTTTAGTGCTCATCTAAAATAAGGGAGGGGGGTCAGCAAGTGGCATGATGGTTAAAGGCACTGGTCCCACATGGCGGACCATGGTTCAAGTCTCGGACCTGGTGGCTTGCTTTCTCACTTCCTCTCTCTCTCTCTTTCTGTGTCTCTCTGATCAAACTGGAAAATAATAATAATAATAAATAAAGTTAAATAAAATAATTCTTAAAAAAATAATAAAATAAAATAAGGGAGGAAAAAAAAACTCCCTATATCAAAAATCTCTCTCTCAAAAATAAGAAAAAAAGGGACCAGCAGTTAGCGTAATGGCTATGTCGCTGGACTCCTATGTAGTCGACCGCAGTTCACATCCCAGACCCAGTGACTTAAAACTCACGCCGGGCGCATGTGCATGAGTGCCCAAGATCCCGAGAGGAGAATGGAGGAGAAGGGATTGCAGCGTGGCCTTCCCCCCTGGGGGGTAATTTCTCGCTTTCTGTCTCTCTATCTCTCTCTGTCTGTCTGGCAAGTGCATGCGCCCTATAGTGAAAACCTCTCAAAAAAAAGAAGGAAAAAAACTAAAGTTGCTTGAAATGTGTAGTTATGGGTATCACATCCCTGCACTAAGCAAACCTACCACTATCATGTCCTGTATTTCCTTCAGAGCTATAAAAATGAATTCATCTTTATCAATAAGCCCTGAAAACTGTTTAAGTTTTAATATCCTGTTCATACTGGTGTGGCCTAAAGTCATATTCAACTCATAGTGAAATGTCTGATGATTCTCTGGTTTCACTTTTCTGAAGCATGTTGAGGAAAGTGCCAGTAAGCAGTCCTAACTCTATGTTCTTATTAGTCTTCGACTATTAAAATAACATACGGCACACCCCTGAATTTTTCATCTGCTTTGTTTCCACAAAGCTTATTTTTAAATAAATAAGTCAGTCACACACTTTAAATGATGCGGTGCATCCTAGCTTCAGGCTACTACTGAATTTGCCATCTTAGAGTTTTAGGACCTTGTGTTAGTGATTGAGTAACTTGGTGTTTCCAGGTCTCCCCTGATGTTCCCCTTATAAAAATGTCATGTGGATTTAAACATGTTTGTATTTTGTATTTGAAGTTCTGTATTTCTAAACTTCATAATATCACTCTTGAGAACCCAGTTCCTATAGAGTTCCTACTCTGTCTTGGAAGAACCAAATTAGGAAACGAGGGAAATATTAGTAAGCCTTTCCTCTTCTTTGTAACAGCAAACCCATGCCCCGTTCCTTTCGTGATTCCTGAGAATGCTCTGCTTTCTGAAAAGGAGTTTTACGTCGGTCAGAACGTGTCCATCAAGTGCAGGGAAGGCTTCTTGCTCCAAGGCCAAGGCGTCATCACCTGCAGCCCCGATGAGACGTGGACACAGACAAACGCCAAATGTGAAAGTAAGTCACCGGTGAAATCCAGTGAGTTCCATTAAGGTGGGGTGTTTTCTCAGTTTTCTGAGGTTATTTTCAATCAAGTAACATAGCTGCAGCTATTTAGATCTCGGCACTAACACACTTATCTTCTGGGTGAATAAGGTTTAAATGATAAACAAAAAAAAAAAATCTTTTAATTCCAAACATTGAAAAAATAAGATATAGGGACCAGCAGATGGCGTAATGGTTATGTTGCTGGACTCCCAAGTAGTTAACTGCAGTTCAAGTCCTGGACATGGCAGCTTAAAAAAAAAAAAAAAAAAAAAAGAAAAAAAAAAATTAAAATAAATAATTTTTTTTTTAAAAAAGGGAAGCTAAAGCAACCTTTGGGGTTGGCTACGGTGGTGATTTCTCACTTTCTGTCTCTCTGTCTCTCTGGCAAGCACATATGCCCTATAGCAAAAATCTCATAAATTAATTAATTTTTTTTTTTTTTTTAGTTTTTAATTTTTTTACTTATAGAACTCAGCTAGTGAACCAGCAGTTAGCGTAATGGCTATGTCGCTGGACTCCCACGTAGTCGACCGGGGTTCGCGTCCCGGACCCGGTGGCTTAAAACTCATGCTGGGTGCATGTGCGTATGTGCCCCAGATCCCGAGAGGAGAATGGAGGAGAAGGGATTGTGGTGTGACCATCCCCCCACTGGGGGGGTGATTTCTCGCCCTGTGTTTCTGTCTGTCTCTCTTTCTCTCATGAAAAGAATTATTTTTTTTTTTTTTAAGAATTATGTATTGGGCCAGCAGTCGATCTTGTGGTTATGTTGCTGGATTCCCACATGGCCAGCCACAGTTCGGGTCCCAGACCAGGTATGTGTGCATGTGTGCCCAAGATCCCGAGAGGAGAATGGAGGAGAAGGGATTGCGGTGTGACCATCCCCCCTGGGGGGGGATTTCTTGCTTTCTATCTCTCTGTCTCTGTCTGTCTCTCTTTCTCTCATGAAAAGAATTATTTTTTTTTTTTTTAAGAATTATGTATTGGGCCAGCAGTCGATCTTGTGGTTATGTTGCTGGATTCCCACATGGCCAGCCACAGTTCGGGTCCCAGACCAGGTATGTGTGCATGCATCCCCAAGATCCCAGTAGGAGAATGGAAAAGAAGGTTGTGGAATGGCCAACCCTCCAAGGGGTGATTTCTCACTTTCTCTCTCTATCTCTCTCTGACTGGTGAACCCTAAGGCAAAAACCTCTATTGCAGAAAAATAATCATAATTATTTTATTTTATTTATTTATTATTATTATTTGACCAGAGAGAGAAACAAAGATCAAGAGAGAGGGAAAGTGAGAAAGCAAGCCACCAGGTCCTGGACTCAAACAGCAGTCAGCCATGTGAGAGTCAGCACCTTAATCACCATGCTGCCTGCAGGCCCTAAAATTAATGAACTTTTAAAATGGGCAATGGATGCTTTCATGAAAAGTTACCCCATGATGGTTCTCAACCTTGAACCTGCATCAGGAATACTTGGAGAGTGTGTTAAAACATAGACTGCTGGGACCCACCCAGCCTCAGAGTTTCTGACAGTAGGTCTGGGGTGAGACCTGAGAAGTACGCATTTCTGATGAGTTTCCAGGTATTGCTTATGAGGTTCCTGCTGCCCTGGGAGCCACCATTTGACAACCTAGGCACTAGCACCATGCTGCTATGTAACAAATCCAGTGGCATTTCTTGCTGCCTCATAAGCCTTGACATATTTTAACACCACTTCCTATCTCCACTTAAAACACCACTGATGAACATCCTGCCCACTAGGCTTCTTTGCAGTCCAGGCTGCTCCCTCTACAGCAGTCAATTACTAAGTATTCACCGAGTTTAACCATACTCAAGGCACTGGGCTATACAGTATAGAACTATTCAATTAACAGAAAAGTCACAATGCATTTTTGCATAGAAAAATACATCATGACTTTTCCAACAATCCAATGTGTTATTTCCTCTGTGGTCTCCATCTTCAAAATACCTGTGCACCAATCAGTGATATCAGAAATAAGATGGGGACTCTGGAAGAAGTCCTGTGTTTTATTCTAGCCCCAATATGTTTAACTCTTTTTTAAAAAGAATTACTTTATTAACTATTTATTTATTTTAATTTGACCAGAGAGGGACAGAGTGAAAGAGAGTGAGAGAGAGAGAAAGCGAGAAAGCAAGCCACCAGGTCCAGGACTCAAACCGCTGTCAGCCACACAGGAGTCCAGTGTCCTTAACCACGATGCCACCTGCTGGTCCCAACATGTATAATTCCTTACTTATGCTATTGCCTTAGTTTCTCTGATTCTTAGGGCATTTGGTAATAGCACCAATAATACCTATGCTATGAATTTCTTTTCAAGAATGAATGAATTGGCATAGACTAGTAAGATCTCCTGATAAAGAAAAGATGGGCAATGGCCCAAGTCCCTGAATTTTCCACTAGCAGTTTCCTGCAGCATTAGAATACTGATTGTATCCCAGTTAGGTGTAGACTATACATTTAGCTGGGATCTGAGTCCCTCATACTTATGAAAATCTACCACCAGAGAAGTGAAAAGAACTAAGTATGTGTATGCTGGACTGGACGTTTCTCTTTGACCCTCTAGTTGAAAGCCACCGGCCTGAGGGAAAGCAAGCCAGATGGCCTCACTAAGCCCACATATGCTCACCTTGCTCTTCACTCAAGATTTACCACTCAGGCTGCTGGCAGAAAGAAAAGAGACATGCACTGATTATAAATGTTTCTTCCATACGTGTATAATTATTCAGTATTCTTTTTTTTTTTCTCTAGAGAGAGATTTTTGCTATAGGGTACATGTGCTCACCAGACAGAGAGAGACAGAGAGTGAGAACTCACCCCCCAAGGGGATGGCCATGCTACAATCCCTTCTCCATTCTCCTCTAGGGATTTCGGGCACATACAGACAAGCACCTGGTACGAGTTTTAAGCCTCTGGGCCTGAGAATTGAACCACGGTTGAATGGAAGTCCAGCAACCTAACCATTATGCCATCACCTAGTCCCCTCCAATATTCCTTTTTTTTTTTTTTAAGAGATTTTTTCTATAGAGCAGATGCACTCACCAGAGGGACAGAGAGATAGGAAGTAAGAAATCATCCCCTAAGGGGTATGGCCATACCGTAGTCCCTTCTACTTCATTCTCCTTTCAGGATTTTGGGCACACATGCACTGAGTGTGAGTTTCAAGTCACGGGTCTAGGACCTGAGCCGTGGTCTACTGCATGGAAGTCCAGTGATATAACCATAATACCATCTGCTGGTCCCCCCTCCAATATTCTTGAGAGGGTTAGGGGTGGTCTCGGAGAGAAGGAGACTGCTTCCACTATTATTTGTTATCCTCTATGCTCTCTTGCATTTTATTTTTTCAATCAAATGGAACGTCCTTGCTTAGAACAAAACATTCTTGCCTCAACTGGGCAGCATCCTTCCCTCTTCTTTATACCCACTCCTGATATTTTTCCATATAAATCAGTGATTCAAATTTAGCGTATGTCAGAATAACCCAGGAAGTTTATGTACAGTATTGATTCATAAGCCAGAACCCCTAGAAATATACATTTTTACTAAAACCCCAGGTGATTCTCATATAGGTGGCCAGAAATTCATGCTTTAATAACCACTGCTATAGGGGCCAGCAGGTGGCATGGTGGTTAAGGGCGCTGGACTCCCATACGAGTGAGTGTGGTTTGAGTCCCAGACCTGGCAGCTTGCTTTCTTACTTTCTCTCTCTTTCTCTCTCATTCTGTCCCTCTCTGGTCAAATTAAAATAAAAAATAAATGGGGAACCAGCAGTTAGCGTAATGGCTATGTCGCTGGACTCCCACGTAGTCAACTGCAGTTCACATCCTGGACCCGGTGGCTTAAAACTCACGCCGGGCACGTGTGCATGTGTGCCCAAGATCCCAAGAGGAGAAGGTACTGCGGCGTGACCATCCCCCCTGGGGGGTGATTTCTCGCTTTCTGTCTCTATGTCTCTCTCTGTCTGTCTGGCAAGTGCACACGCCCTATAGTGAAAACCTCTCCAAAAAATAATAATAATAATAAGTAAAAAAAAAATAAATAAATGAGTAAATCAAGTTGAATAAAATAATTAAAAATAAATAGCCACTGCTACAAACCAACTCCTGGCTCAACATGATCTTCCCACATGCTTTAGTTCCAACCCGGTAGTTCTTTCTTTGATCCCTCAAACTTTACACCGTAGTCCAAATGTCATTTTCACTGTGATTCAAACCCTGACGATCCTAAGCAGAAGTAGTTACAATAGCCTCAATATTCTTACCATATGGTATCTGCGCCTCTAATACAGCTCATTTCGTAGTGCAGTATTGTAAAGCTTGGATGGCAATATTTTTCTTTCTTTCTGTACTTGTCTGAGCAGAAGGACAGCATTTCCTTTGTTTATTTCTTTTCCATTTCTGATACATAGTAGGCATTTGTCTACCTTCAAAGAGAGAGAGAATTTAGAAACCCCATACAGAGTGATCCTCTCTTAGAACAACCTTTTAAAAGTATTATGACCACAAATTTTTAACATTATTCTGACAACAAAGTGACCTTTGAGAAGCCAGTGAATGAAGACTCCTCATCCAAAAGTTGGAATTACACAAACTGGCTTATGTAGTAGAGTCCTGACTCCAAACCAGTCCTTGTCCTGTGCTCCATCTCAAAATAGAGTTTTTTTATTTTAAATTTTTGTTATTTTTAAAAAATTCAATCTATACATCTTTACAGCCTACAAAATGGATTTTCCCAACATGAATATACTATATATTACTCCAAAGATATTGCCATACATGTCATCATTCACAGATCATTTCCCATATAGTTATCTTAAAGTGTCATAAAATCCCCAAAGAAAACTTAGAACAGTTTTTATTTAAATATACACATACAATTATTTTTAAAAGAATATTGTTATTTAATCAACACAATTGAAAAAGTAGAAATTCATTGCTATACAGTAGTGAAAAGAGAGAAACTGATGTGAAATCTTTTTTTAAAATTTATTACATTTATTCACCAAAGTACCTCAATATATAAAATACCTAAGGGCATATATTTACAGATGTGAAAGGTTATTAGCTACAGCTTTACTGTAACATTTTAACTACTTCTGTGTATTTTTATTATTGTTATTTTTAAAAATTCAATCACTGAATATTCATTACAGCATGCAAAATAAATTCTCCTAACAGGAACACTCTGTATATTAGTCCAGTTAAAGATATCATACATGTTATCATTAATAGATAATTTTCCATGTTTTTAATCTCTTAAATGTTTTGCTTCTTTCTTTTTTTGCTTGGTTCCCTTCTTCTTACCTTCCCCCATTTCCCACCCTCCTCTCACATTGTCTCTACTATCCACAATCATTCTCCATTCTTTTATATCCTCCAATCCTTCAGTTTCTGCCGTAGAGTACAGACACTAATGTGAAATCTTGAATTTAACAAACTCCATCAAAGTATATAAATTGAGTATCTACAGGCTAGAGACAATATTCATCCAGTTACTCATTTTCCAAATATATATTAAGAGCTTATTGCATGCCAGGCACTGTCCTAGGCACTGATAAAACAGCCCGGATGGAATATGCATTACTGCAAGGAGTGATCTTTACTCTGAAGCAGCAGACTATAAATAATTGCTGTGCTTTGCTTTCCTTCTAATTTGAAAGTATCCTGCACTGAACTTCTCACAACTATCTCTTTAGCAAGGTACTAGAGCACATTCTTGGTCCCCTACAAATGTCTGTCCGTGAGTTCAGAATAGTTCAGCTTCAGTATTTGAATTGGAAGGCAAAAATCTTTTATCTTCTATGATAACGCAATTTTTCCTAAATAGCAACAGATTTAGTTCTTAGTATCTTGTAGAGAGATAGGTAAGAGTGTTACCTCTGTATATTTTATCTTTGCTCTTTAATTTAGTCATAGAGATGAACTGTGTCATCAGTCTGGGTTAACAGCACTGGCTTAATTTACACGTCGTTTTTCTACAGAAATTTCATGTGGTCCACCAGCTCATGTAGAAAATGCAATCGCTCGAGGAGTACATTATCAGTATGGGGACATGATCACCTACTCGTGCTACAGTGGCTACATGCTGGAAGGTTCCCTAAGGAGTGTTTGCCTGGAAAATGGGACATGGACATCACCTCCTACCTGTAGAGGTAAGATAATATGTGAATGGTTATTTCTTTCTTTATTTTAAAGAAGTATTGGTTTACTTATTTATTTTTATTCATTCATTTATTTTAATTTGACCAGAGAGAGACAGAGAGAGAGAGAGGAAAAGTGAGAAAGCAAACCACCAGGTCCAGGACTCAAACCATGGTCAGCCATGTGAGTGTGTCCAGCGCCTTAACCACCACACCACCTGCTGGTTCCTTGAGTGATTATTTTTTAGTGAAGCTTCAGGGAAATGTGTATGGAATTCTAGGATGGTCAACTAGTATGCATATTTTTTTTTCTTAGTTTTACTTTTCACTTACAGCTGTGCTATCGGACTTCCCTTTGTGGTTTGAGTATTGAAAGCTTGCACATAGAACTCTTGGGTGCTATGCTTGAAATTCTGCAGATTGAAAGAGATTGGTAATGAGGCATCACTGTTTGTCCTTCTAAAACTTTATTAATAAAATATGATTTTTCACAAATCAGATGATCTCATCTACTTTACAAATATTTATGAAAAGTCAGGAACTATGCTAGTGAACAAGATAGACATGACTGAGATCAAAGCACAAGCAAATTGTTGGGTGGGTTGTCTACATGACCATATGAACAATGCCCAAATCAGGACTGGAGTGAAAAGACCAAATCCTTTAGGACTTGTGGGGACAGGGAGGAGTCCTGGATGAATAACATAAAGCTCAAGAGAGGCAGGAGTTATTGCAAAAGGAAGGGGATTCATATGTATTCCACAAGACATTTTGATTACCTTGGGGACAATAGACAAGTAGGAAGAGAGGAACAGAAATATCTGCCATAAAGTGTTCTAAGTGATTTGTTGGCGTGAACATGCATACCAGGGTACTTCGAAAGTTCACGAAAATGAATTAAACTATGAATTAATTTTGGTGCCAAAATAATTGAAATCCATGAATAGTGTTTTTTTTATGATATGCATTTTTTTTGGAGAGTTTTTTGCTATAGGGCGCATGCGCTTGCCAGAAAGACAGAGAGAGACAGAGAGATAGAAAGTGAGAAATCACTCCCCAGGAGGGATGGCCACACCACAATCCCTTCTCCATTCTCCTCTCGGGATCTTGGGCACGCACGCACACACGCCCGGTGTGAGTTTAAGCCACCGGGTCCGGGACTCGAACTGCAGTTGACTACATGGGAGTCCAGCGACATAGCCATTATGCCAACTGCTGGTCCCGTGACGTGTATTGTCTGTGAACTTTTCAAAGACCTCTCACATAATGGAGGCATGTTACATTTCAGAGTGCTGAGAAATGTGGAAAAAGAAAAAGCCTTGATTTGTGTGCTTGGGAACTGGGGTTATGTCCAAGGAATGTTCCACAGAGGAGACATTTGAACTAGGTCTTAAAGAAGGAGAAAAAGGTGAACAGGAAAGGGATTAGGGCCAAGGGAAGAGAAAGAAAATAGCAGTCAGGCAGAGAAAACCATAGCTCTGCAACAATATGAAGTCATAAAGGGACATAGCATTTTGGAAAGCTCAAGTGTCTGGGTGTGCTAGAGCTGAGATTTCTTTCAGGAATGATCAAAAATCAAAATGTTAAACTTTTTAATAATTATTTTATTTAACTTAATTAATTAATTAATTTTAATTTTACCAGAGGAGAGAGAGAGAGAAGGTGAGAAAGTATGCTGTCAGATCCGGTACTCAAACCGCAGTCAGTCATGGGGGAGTCCAGCGCCCTTAACCACCACACCACCTGCTGGCCCCAAAAATCAAAATTTTAGTGGCAGTAACATCAAAGGCACAATAGCCAAGATTGGAAACAACCTAAATGTCTGTTGGTGGATGAACAGACAAAGAAAATGTGATGTGGGTAGATAGATGGATGGATTGATACAATAAGGCATTATTCAGCCTTTAAAAAAAAAAAAAAAAGAAACTTCAGCAATTTGTGACACCGTGAATAAACTTGGAGGACATTATGCCAAGGAAATATCAGACACAGAAAGGCAAATACTACATAAAATAGTCATGTTCAAAGAAGCAGAAAGTGGAAGCCAGCAGATGGCATGGTGATTATGTTGCTGGATTCCCACATGGCCGACCACAGTTCGAGTCCTGGACCCAGTGGCTTGAACATCATGCCAGGCGCATACAAGTATGTGCCCAAGATCCCAGGAGGAAAATGGAGGAGAAGGGACTGAGGTGTAGCCATCCCCCCTAGAGGTTGATTTCTCACTTTCCCTCTCACTGTCGCTGTCTCTTCTTTCTCTCCAGTCAGTACATGTACCCTGTAGCAAAAACCTCTCCCGTTCTCCCCCCACCTCCCATCCCCCCCCCCAAAAAAAAACAAAACACAAAGTAGTAGCAGACAGTGGACTGCTAGTTGCCAGAAACAGAAAATGTCAGGAACAGGAACGGGAAGGTATTGGTCATAGGGCACCAATGTAGGATGAATAAATTCTGGAATTTTAAGGTACTTCAATGCACTTCTAGTTAACAATACCGTGAAAATACTGAAATTCGCTAAATTTGTTTAAATGTTGTCAGCACACACAAAAAAAGAAAATGGTAACTATTTGAGATGATAAATATAATTAGCTCAATTGTGATTATTTCACAATTTATACATATATCAAAACATCAAGATGTAAACCTTAAATATACACTTTTTCTTTCTATCTCTCCTTAATAAAGCTGGGGGCGGGGGACAGCAGTGATAACAACCAATAAAATGCTCCACTTCACCATGTACTGAAGTTTCCTCTTGAGATTTGATTTTGTTTCCCATCCTTAAAGCTTGAGACAAAGAAATATTATACAATGTACATGAGCAGTCCTGCCTGACTACCTCTCTTCCAGAAGTCGCTAGATTTATGACCATCCCACTTCTTTTCTAGCTGTCTGCCGATTCCCTTGTCAGAATGGCGGTGTCTGCCAGCGACCAAATGCTTGCTCCTGTCCAGATGGCTGGATGGGGCGCCTCTGTGAAGAACGTGAGTCTGTCGTCAGATACTATTCTCAACTTATAATTTGCCTGGAAGCTGGAAACTTAAGGAAGCTACTAGAAACTGACTTTACTGTTGGGGAGAAATTCATTGGCTTACATTGTTACAGCAGACCAGATAGAACCCAGAGGGCCAATTTGAATATGTCAATAGTTTGCAGAAGATAGAGAATATTAATAACCTTGAAAACATTATTTTCAAGATCCACCTAAAGTCATCTCTTTGTTTAATTTAACTTTTTTTATTTATTTACTTTTAATTTGACAGAGTGAGAGAGGAAGGAGAGAGAGGGAGAGGGAGAGGAAGAGAGAGAGAAAATGAGAAAGCAAGCCACCAGGTCCAGGACTTGAGCTGCGGTTGGCCATGTGGGAGTCTAGCACCTTTAACCACCACGCCACCTGCTGGCCCCCTAAAGTCATCTTTAAGTGTCTTCTGGCACAAATGTGTAAGAGCCTTCTTGGGAAAGTTGGTTATAGTCTCCCAGCCCTCTTTTTTCCTGATCTCAGGTCCACTATGTCCTATGCCATTCATTGCTGCAGTTGGCATAAATACATGGCATTTTACGATATCTTTTTTTTTAGAGGTTTTTGCTATAGGGCACGTGCGCTCGCCAGACAGAGACAGAGGGAGAGACAGAAAGCGAGAAATCACCCCCCAGGGGTATGGCCACACCGCAATCCCTTCTTCTCCATTCTCCTCTCGGGATCTTGGGCATGCACGCACACGTGCCTGGCATGAGTTTTAAGTCACCAGGTCCGGGATGCGAACCACGGTCAACTACGTGGGAGTCCAGCAACATAGTCATTACGCTAACTGCCGGCCCTGTCATTGCATAATATCATACTTCGCTGGCAGTATTTGCAGCCCACTCCACTCGTGGTTTGTCATTAAGAATAATTTCTCCTTGGGACCAGCAGATGGCATAATAGTTACATCACTGGATTCCCACATACTCAACCACAGTTCGAGTCCCAGACCTGGCGGCTTAAAATGCACACGGAGCACATGTATGTGTGTGACCAAAATTCTGAGAGGAGCATGGAGGAGAAGGAATTACAGCATGGCCCCCCCCCCCCCGGGGGGGGGGGGAATGGGTGATTTCTTACTTTCTGTCTCTCTGTCTTTCTCTGTCTCTCCAGCAAGCACACGTGCCCTGTAGCAAAAATCTCTCTCAAAGAAAAAAAAACAAAAAAAGGGAACCAGCAATTAGCATGATGGTTATGTTGCTGGACTCCCATGTAGCCGACCGCGGTTCGCGTCCCGGACCTAGTGGCTTAAAACTCACGCCGGGTGCCTGTGCATGCGTGCCCAAGATCCCAAGAGGAGAATGGAGGAGAAGGGATTGCAGCGTGACCATCCCCTCAAGGGGTGATTTCTCGCTTTCTGTCTCTACTGTCTCTCTCTGTCTGTCTGGCGAGCACACACTCCCTATAGCGAAAATCTCTCTCTCAAAAAAAAAGAATAGTTCCTTCTACTTAAAAGAATAAGGAAAACGCACTCCTATATCTACACAATGCTCAGTAAAGTAATACAGAATTTTGATCCTTCTAAAAATACATCTGAATTTGAACTTCCAGTAACGTGTAAATAAGTAGTTTGCACTTTGTTTCAACATCTTAAAAAATACATAAGGATAAAATGGTTTCATGTCCCATTGGGAACGACATGTATAAATCATTTAGTCATTAATGTGATGGCCATGGTGTATACCAGTTTTTTTTTTTTTCAAGGTCAGGAATTTTATAAGATACTCTAAAACTTTTTAAGTGTGACTTTTTCAACTAATCTATAAAGGAAAAAGTGTGATAAAGATAAATTTAGATGTTTAACAACTCACCAAAGTGTTCTCATAATAATCAAAAAGAGAGAGAGAGAAATTACATTTTTCCTTCCACTTCTCCCACATCATTCTTTTTCACGTAGAGCTCCCTTACTTAAACTGCTATAATGTCGCAAGTCCAAAGACTCGTGGAGTATGACTGCGGTACTCTAACTCCAGTGCTGGCTTAGCTGTTCCGGCTCCCTGAACCCTCCAGCCCTCCTGCATGAGCCAGGGCTTCCTGAGCTTTAGCATACATTCATATCACTGGGAGAGGTTAAAATGCAGATTGTGATTAGCAGACCTAGGCTGGTATCTGGCATTTCGGATATCTAACCAACTCCAAGGTGATACTGATATAAAGCGCTTAGAGTTTCAAGGGAACAGACCGTCTCGTATTTTTTCAAGACAATGCCTCTTTAAAGAGTTTCCTGATTTCCAGTATCCATAACCATTTTCAATGCTTCTATATATAGTGATTAAATGTATAAAATAAAATAAAATGAAAAATAAAAAGAGCGCAGTGATTTCTAGAAGGAGGAATGGGGCCCTAGAGTGTATAGGGGAGATCTAACTCAGTCATTTCCAGGCCTCAGCTCCTAGGAAATGAAGGGGGAGTTGTCCTGTCAGTACTAAACTGTTTCAAACACCAGCCTACAGTGTATCCCGCCCGATTTTCATTCTTACCATTTAGTTCAAGACAAGAAGAGCGCCGTATGGCCGCCAACCCCTTAGAGTATTTTCTATAATTCCTCATGGAAATCTGAAATGCTGATAAGTGGAGATCATTCTGCTTGTTTTGTGGAGAGTCAAAGCAAAGCACTTAGCAGACGTTGGCTACAATGTGTCTTCACTAGAAGAGTACATTTGGCATTGACTCATTACATCTGGCTAAGAATCCAGGCTTATTTCCCTGATTGTATTTTTCTGATGATACTCATGAATAAGCAGCCGGGAAGATTAGCTAATGGGCCATGCGAGGTTTCATTCCTCCTAGAGAATGTTGTTTGAACACTTGAGCCTATCTGTGCGTGTCTATTTTAATCAAATCCTTTTCAATCCCCCCTTTTTAGCAATATGCATTCTTCCCTGTCTGAACGGCGGTCGCTGTGTGGCCCCTTACCAGTGTGTCTGCCCCCCTGGCTGGACTGGGTCCCGCTGTCATACAGGTAGGCTGCCTCTCACGGTTGGTTTTCTTGGTGGCTTGGTCTCATGAAGCCCTAGGGTATATTGATGAGTGTAACTCGGACACCATGGTGGTGATGGAGCAAAAGGGCACCAAAATTTCCCAAGAGTTCCTCATATTCTAAGGACACATCTAAGTCACCTCGGTCATTTGCCTTCTTCCTGTCATCATCTGCTCTATTTTGCAAAATGTAGAGAAGACATTATACAAAGGGGCCAAAGAATACGTTTTTTTTAATCTCTATGAAGCTCAATTACTAAATTCACTATTCCTATTTAGAAAGACCAAAGTCATAAATAAATACAATATAATTTAAATATTTAAAAAAACTCATCCAAGATGATTCCTTTCTCTTACATTTATTTATTGGGTTTTCAGGAAAGTCATGATGCATTTTTGCATACAAAAACATAGAAAAATACATCATGACTTTTTAGACGACCCAATATTTATTTTTTCCCCATCATGAATATGCTGCATACTAGTCTAACCAAAGTTATTCCCATACATAATATCACCAAGAGATAATTGTTCATTTTTGTGTCTGTTAAATGTTTTGCTCTTTTCCCCTTCCTGTTTTCCCACTGCCCCATTGCCTATCACCCTCCCATGCTGTCTCTAGTATCTACAATTGTTCCCTATGTTTTTATACCTTCCAGTCTTCCAATTTCTGCCATAGCGTGCCCACATTCAGTATATATTAAGTGGGGACATGCAATGCCTCTCTTTCATAGTCTAGCTTGCTTCATTCCTCATCATAGTGGATTGATCGGTGACGTCCATGTCCACTTAGCAACCTTTGCCTGCCTGAAATATGAAAGGTCTTCAAATGGATCGTGGAAATTACATATTATGAAAAAAGGCACAGATGCCATAATTATTTTGCACCCAAATAAACTTGTACTTTCATTGCATTTTTTCATGAACTTTTTGAAGTCCCCTCATAAAGCATTTGGCCCACTGCTATACTTGGACATCTGTGTAACTGCTTGATTCTCTAGCTCTGCTCCTACTAGATTATATACTATGAGAGTAGCAATATTCCTTGTTATCTTTGTATTTCTAGCACGTAGCATAATATCTGAATATGACAAGTTTCGCAGTTAATGTCAAATAAATCCATTTCGAAAGATGGGTTTTTACCTATTTAATGTGGTAAAATGTTAAGCCACTGTTAAAAAAAAAAAAAAAGGTTTTTCTATCTTTATTTAGTATGATACCTAACACTTCATCATCCCTCCTGCAAATGTTTATGCCACCTCCTCAGTGGGGTAAAATGTAAATTAGAACATGCTCATTGACACCAGAGCTCGCTATGAACACTAAAACTGGGGAGGCTATATAATTTAGCTTCCCAAACTAGACATTTCTGAGAGTGAAAGGGGCACTGTAAATAAGACAAGCAGGAACAGGAAAGTAAAATGTACTGTCACGGGCACAGTCGGGTGTGTAGTCACCCTACCTAAAGCCAACAGTAGGCCATCTGTGAATGTAGAAAGGCAAAAATGTCCTGGAGGCTAAATTTGAAAATTTTGAGACTCTTAAAGTGATCAATATCGTGTTTGCTTATAATACTAGACATAACAAGTCAACTTTGGTATTTATGCACGTTTCTTGTGCATCCAAAATTGAACTCATCTGCAAGCCAGCCCTGCCCTTTGCAACAGTTACCTTATCTTTGCAAGAAGTGGCATTCAGTCTTCCAGATAAATGACTCGTTCTTGGCTACCCCTCCCCTTCAGCAGAGATTATCAACATTATCACTCTTTTTGTTTCTTTCTCAGCAGTTTCTCTCCCATCTTACTTCACCACCACCACCACCACCACCACCCCCCGCCATCTTCTCTGGATGATGGCCAGAGTGTGCTAGTTTACCTCCCATCTCCGTTTCCAAGATGACCATCATTAATGTTTTACTTTAGGCATGTCTTTGCTCTATTTAAGAACATCCAATAGTTGTTTAGTATGTCCACATCCATACCGAATTCATCCAACCTCCACATGCTGCATAGACTTTCTTTAGCACACCTGCAGCACAACCCACTTCCAATCTTGCCAGTCACACCCTTACCCCCTAGAGTGGTGGCTTCCTCATTACCCTCCAAACAGCCTCTTCTCCTTCCCATCTCTTAGCATCTACTCATCTACTCCCGTCTAGCATCTACTCTCCTCCTTCCCTCACCTATTCTTACCTTACCCAACTCCCGAGGCCTGCCTAAGTTTCCTCTTCTATCCGAACTTGTTCTGTATCATGACAATCTATTTTTTTTAACAATCCATTTCTCTCAATGTTACACAGTTAGTTAGACACATGCAGTTTATAGCATGTGGCCTATGTGTATTTCTTTTAGCTTAGTTCTCTAACTAGAATAAACTTTTTGATGACACTGAGGCATGTAGGCTTCCTTTTTTAAATCTTGCCACAGCTACCTCGGCATACACCCTCTACATACTAAATATGCAAAAAGATATACAACGAGAGCTGCAAAAGTTCAATCTAGAATGGGGGAAGGAATGCAGGGTGGCCTATAAATAGAGATCTATAAGATGAAGGCTAATTGAATACATGAAATGGACTGTGATCACAGTGACGATGGGTAAATGAAGCAAGTGTCAAGGTGCAGAAAAGGCTTCACAGGCCTAGAATCTGAGGAGAGCAGGAAGAGTCTACAGGACAAGAGTATTCTAGCTAAAGGCATGGAGTGGAAAATATGTAGGCGTATTCAGCAACTGAAGCCATAGAGGACACCTAGGGGTGTGGCTGGAAACGAAGCTGTGAAGAAAGCAGCATCAGATCGGAACACTTGGTTTTGTGTGCCAAGTTCGAGATGTTGGATTATGTCTTGGGAAAATCAGAAGCCATTAAAGGTTTTAAGCATGAAAACCATGCCATCAGATGTTCTTTTGGAACAGAGATTTTGGTAGCAGTGTGAAAATGACGAGAAGCAAGATTTATAATAGATGTGTTGGGAGGTTACAGAAGACAAATTGGCAAGAAGTAATGACATCTGGAGAGATGATAACCCAAAAAGGGTAGATTTCAGAGAAGGCAGAGAGATAGAATCAATGCCGCCAAGAATCAAAATAGCTGTTTCCTGCTTAGGCCCCAGAGTGGAAGGCGGCACCACTTACCAAGCTAGAGACTCCAGGTGCAGCTGGTGTGGGAGTACTGATAAGGAGTTAGCAGTGGGCATGCTGAGATAGATCAGGATGGGTATAGATAAGGATGAGTGTAAATGAGTGTAGATAAGGCTGGGCATGCCGAGATAGATCAGGATGGATATAAATAGGGATAGATGGGGATAGGTAAGGACGGGCATGCTGAGTTTGAGAGGGTGGAACATGTAAGGGGAATGATCAGATAGGCAGTTGGATGATAGTTCAAGTTCTCAGAGATATAGTTAGATTAATTATAGAGATTTATAAGTCATCATTAAAAAATATCCATGGGGGAATAGAAATGAGACTATGCAAGAGACATGTGGCATAAGAAGGTGATCCAAAAGTGGAACACCGGAGGCACCAACATTCTAAGGAAAAGAAAAATGCTAAACTTTTAGACAAAGAAGCAAAAATAATGACTGGTTGGTTGGTATAGTCAGGCAGCACTAGTTAGCATGTTGCTGAAAAGAAGTAATATTTTCTTACATTAGCAGCAATCAGTAAGGAAGAGCTGGATTTAGGTTATTAGAATTTATTCTTGATTTTTTTTTAGTGTGTTTATTGTTATAGGGCATGTGTGCTCACCTGAGAGACAGAAACAGAGAGAGAGAGAGAGTGAGAAATCACCCTAGAGAGGATGGCCACGCTACACTCCCTTCTCCTTCATTCTCCTCTCAGGATTTTGGGCATGCACACATACTTGCCCAGCATGAGTTTCAAACTGCTGAATCTGGGACTTAAGCCAAGGGTGGCCATGTGGGAGTGCAGCTCCTTCACCACCACACCACCTGCCGGGCCCTATTCTTTCTGGTTATAATTCTGATTTGTTTCATAATTTCCTTTCTTATTAAATTGCACGTCAGTGATTCTGCTGGCCTGTTCTTCCTCTTAACCTCCCAGAATAGTGCCTTATGGGATTTTACTTCTTGTCCTCTCATGCCCTCCATCCAGTGATTACCAAGTGCCATACTGGCCTACCAGGATTTTTCCCTGTTTCTTATGAATGAATGATTAAAGAAATGCCATTGACTTACATCTCACCAAAGATTTTTTTCATGCACAAAAGGGCCTATTTTTTTATGCTATAATGAGACTGAAATGTTTCCAAGAGGAGGCCTTTTATTTCCTCTCTGCAGGGAGTTCATCTCTGTCTTTGAAATAGTACATTTGCTGTTACTAGAGCTTCATGAAATTTTAGCATCCTCAGCTTTTTTTTTAGCATGAACTTGAAAAGTTTGGTTATGAGACTGTGGATTTGTGAGAAAGATGCCTTTGTGGTAAATCTTTTGATGTTCTCTCCAGGTTTCATCTATGGCTAGTTTTTAACCCTAGTCCAGTTCTGTAATTCCAATTAAACCTGGTAAGAGCCATGAAATATGTGCCTTAGCCAAACACAAAGGGCTATCGAATCATCTATTTTGTACAACCTGTATGCCTGATTTATTATTGTAAGAGTTGATATATGACTTAATCAATCAATCAAAGAGTTCAGTGCTATAAATCAGAAGATTTATCATCTAATTGAATATATAAAAAAGCTATAGTGCAAAACAGTGGAAGTGCCTGATTCAGTGCATAAATAAAAACTCAAGGAGAGAAAAATCAGTGGACTAAGAGCAATCAGCCAAAGTTTGAATTAATAGGTACAACTTAACCTGAGACTTAAATGTGGAAATTGACCAGCCTAGAAGGGAAAGCGGAGGTCCTGTCACAGAAGGCTGTAAGGTCAGGCTGAGTGACAGAAGTGGATAATGCAAATTGTATGTGCAGAATCATGGTTGCAGCAGGAAGCAGGGGCAAGTGTTAAATAAGTGCATGTACTTTTCCTCCTAGCTGTTTGCCAGTCTCCTTGCTTAAATGGTGGGAAATGTGTACGGCCAAACCGATGCCACTGCCTTTCAGCCTGGACAGGACATGACTGTTCCAGGTAAGTAGACCAAAAACTAATATTTCTCTACAACCTACAGAGTTCAAAATTTGAAGTAAGTTGTTTCACTAGTTACAAGGTATTTCTAGTTTGCATGTAAGTATCCTGCAGCCAAATCTATCTTTTATAAGGTATACTCTCTAAATCTGAACTAAAACCAGAGCTAAGAAATGGTAGTTCAGGATTTCCAAGAAAATGATGATATTGCAAAAAGAAAAGTTATGCCCACTCCTGCAGCACTTATACTAAAATTGGGACTATACAGAGATGAATATGGCCTGTGCTCAAGAATGACATCCAAATTTGTGAAGCAGTCCATATTTTTTCACAAGAAAAAAGAAAAATGGGTTAAATAATTCAAGAGTAAGCTGTGTTCTTGAACAGAGATTGCATCCTTCACATGCAAAGATGCAAAATAAATAAAAAACTCAATATACTTTATTGAAATCACAGTGCATATTTGAGTTCTTTATTATAATAAACACTAGTATTAAAGTCGACAAGAAATGTTTACAGTCAAATATCTTTATTTGGCACTCTAGTGTGTACATATTTCACTGACTATACATATTCATGTATTTATTGACGATAAAAATAGTATATAAAATAAAAAAGAAAAATATGTATAAATATAGTCATATACTTCACTGACAATATGAAATTGTATGTAAAAATAAGTTCTGTCCATCGGTTTCTCATTTCTGACAAGATAAATATACTTGAAAAAAAGATGCTCACAAAAATAAGTCAAAGGGAAAATAGTTCAATGATCACCTAAACCTTTTCAAAGTTCAGAAAATATCAGACATTGTACCATCCCCTGGATAAGTTCCTTTCAATATTTAGACATTTCTCTCACAAGTGTTACAATGTTAGAGTACTTTCAGCCCCATCTTAAGATCTCAATATATGACTTGGCATCACATCACTGAGATTTGTATTATGTACACTTACCCCTCCCCCAACTTATAGAAACCACTAAAACAAATAGGTATTCCTATACTCATTTTTAAAACTAAAATTCGGCCAACTAAAAACAATTCTTATTTTTCCATTTCTTTCTTTCTTTCTTTCTTTTAAAGATTTTTGCCAAAGGGAGCATACACTCATCAGAGAGATAGATAGTGAAAAGGAAAGTGAGAAATCACACACACACACACCCAAGGGGCATGACTGCACTGCATTCTCCTCTCCATTCTCCTCCTGAGATTTTTGGGCATGCACACACGTGTGCCCAGTGTGAGTTTCAAGCCACCAGGTCCAGGACTTGAACTGTAGATGGCCCTGTGGGGGTCCAGCACCTTAACCACCATGCCACCTGCTGGCCCATTTTCCATTTCTTATTATGTTACTTTTATTGAGATATCAAAGTCGACTTGTAAAAACAAAAAAGCAATTGAATTAAATACAAAAAAATTCTGTGTTGTGCCAGTGAATATCCTCATATCATCACCTCATGTCATCTCTGCAGACAAAGAAAACAACAGGGAAAAAAAAGAACCCTGAAAAGTAAATATGGAGTGGGATGGATATATTTTGAAGCTGCCAGGATTTAAACAATAGTTTTACCTGAGAGCAGAGATGAAGGAATTGAAGAAAACAAGGGCCAAAAGAAGGAAGGGAGGGAGGAGAAAACGAAACAAGGACTCAAAAAGAACAGAAAATACTTTCTTATAACTTTAGACTTTATATTTCAACCACTTCATCTTATAAATAAAGGAAACCCAGAATTTATATGGTTCCCCAGCATCAAAATTTCCTCATAGAAACTCTTTGTTGATCAGGAGACTGGTAGTTATTATCTTGTATGAAAATATTGTCTATTAATAAAATAGAATTGGGACCAACAGTTAGCATAATGGCTATGTCGCTGAACTCCCATGTAGTCGACCGCGGTTTGCATCCTGGACCCAGTAGCTTAAACTCACGCTGGGCGCGTGTGCGTGTGTGCCCAAGATCCCGAGAGGAGAATGGAGGAGAAGGGATTGGGGCGTGACCATCCCCCCCAGGGGGGGGTGATTTTTCACTTTCTGTCTCTCTGTCTCTCTCTCTCTGGCGAGCACACACGTCCTATAACAAAATTAATTAAAATAGAATCTATATTTTATACAAAATTTTGATATAGGAATCAAGAAAATATTATGGCAAGTTAAGCTTAGAGGTACATCCCACATTCATATAAGTGCTAACTGGCACTCAGAGGACCATGCAGATTCCCTTCTGTAATGGCTTCTTCTGGGAGATCCATATTGATTAGGACACTGTTGTTAAAATTGGAATTAGCTTAAGCTAAGAAAGGAACTTATCACAATAGAGGGACTTGGTGTGGTACCCAGGGACAAGGGAGTAGTCAAATATCAGGAGGACCGGAACCAAGGACCAGAACTGAGGACTTGAAAGCCACCTGAAGCCTCTCCACTTTCCCTTTCACCTCCTCACTCCAGGGTCTGCTTCTTCCTCTCTCTTGCTGCAGAGTGGCTTTCTCTGCTGTTCAGTTCACATGAAAGGACAGAACTGAACTCACTGCCCATGTCTTACATGTCATCATGCAAAGACATACTACACTGTCCCAGCCTAGAAGGACTCTAATTGGTCCAGATTGACTCAGGGGGCCAACAAGGGTCAATGAACAGTAGCACTGGGTTGACATATGCTATACTAACATGGAGGGTAATTTTGTCAAAACATCAGGCAAAGGGGAGGGGAGACACAATTTCCAGAAGACAAGAAGATGCAATATCACTCCCTAAAAACAGAAGCTTTTCTGAGATGTCAAAACAATTAAAAACTACACTTTTTTTTTCCTTCTGTCTCATGAGATTGAGTATCTTAAAGAGTATATGCCTAGTAACTTTGTACAAGTACAAAAATAGATGCTCAATAAATGCTAGTTGACAGCTGGAGACATTTTTTTGGCATTAAGTGGCAGGTGGTAGAGAAATGCCTTGTGGCAGCCATTAAACTCTTCAACCTGAATCTTCTCAACTGATGAAGAAGACTGACCCGGCCTTGCTCCCAGGTAGTTTAGTCCTTTCAGAAATGAATGATGTTTCCTCTGATCTCTGCACAGCTTCAGAAAACTTAGCCTAAGCAAATACCATAACTAAAAACCGTAGGTTGTTCATGGGCTAAGAAACCTTTAGATTCACGAGGTCCAAACCTCTCATGTTACAGGTAAGAGGATGGTCAGATGGAAAACTAGTGCCAATAAGAACTAAAACTCAGGTCTGCTGCTGCTCAGATCTCTTCCTAAGGTAGCAGCCGTTCACTAAGGCCCTTTCTCAAAGAGGAACCCCTCACCGCTACAGACAACATCACAGGTGTCTGAAACTTGCAGTTCCATTTTAATTGGTTTGTACAGAGCTGTTACCAAAAGATGCAATATCACTCGTGTTTCAGTTCAGTCTTTTCTCTTGACTCTCTCTCTCTCTCTTTTTTTTTTTTTCCTTTCTTTCCAGGAAAAGGAGGACTGGGTTTTAACCACCACACAACTCACTGGCTCTCTCAAAGCAGGATCATCTCTTCCTGGTAGCGCCTGGGCATCCTGGAATTTATGCAAAGAAAGTCCAACATGGTGCTGGATCTTGTTTAGTGAACTTGTTATTTGGGGGTTTTTATTTTGTGATATATTTTGTTATTCCTTGTGTCATACTTTCTTATGTTTCCATTTTTAAATATGCCTGTATTTTCTATATAAAAATTATATTAAATAGACGCTCTCCCACCCTCACAAAATGTACATACTCTGCTGTCTATCGGAAAAGCCCTCGGTTCACATTTTTATTCAGTTACATAGGATGGTTTTTTTTTCCAATTAAAATATATTTTGCTACTAAATACTACTTTGCTGGATATGAGAGGGCCGGGAAATAATAAAGAGGAGCCATGTTCTTTCAGCTGTGCCACTGATATAACACACAATCACGTGAAACACACCAAGATAGTTACCATAAAGAAGAGTCCTCCCTTCTAGTTCCACCTCCTTTCTAATACAGGGGTGGGGGATATTCAAAAGGTTCACGGAAATGCATATAATAAAAAAAAATCTCTGCGTGAATTTTAGTGGGTTGTTTTGCACCAAAATAAACCTGTGCTTCTATTTTTCCACTAACGTTTTGACGTCCCCTCATATGTCTACAAATAAAGATCTCCTTTTATCTAACCAGAGAGTAACTGTTGGGTAGAGTACTCTTTATATAAGAATTTTTCCCTGGTGCCAAGAGTAGGCTGGATCATTCTTTTTCCAACATTGAGAAAGCTGCAGGCATCAACTTAGTGTGTGGAGGAGAAGATGGCATGATGACCGTGGTTTACAAAGTAAAGTGTTCCCTTCCTTCTCACAGCTGAAATAAGAAAGGCAAGAACTAGATTAACAGCCTATTCTTGGAGCATAATTGCACAAGAAACAAAGGAGATAGAAAAGGGGAAGATGGAAAGGGAAGGAAAAGAACAGAGAGGAAAGATTCCCAGATCCAGGCTCCCAGTCCCATCTGCCCAAGGAAGCAGTCCCCACTGTTTGGCGTACCTCCATTACTGTGCCTATACCAGCATAAACACTTCCCCAGGCTTCAGAAAATAAAGCCAAACACTAGATTTTTGTCTTAAAATAGAAAAGGCACAGAAAACTTGCCTCTATCCTCCAGGAGAGCTTCCCACACACAGGATGCAGGATATGTTACAGCACTGGGGAGACACGCAGAAAGGAAGAAAAAGAGCTTGCTTCTTCTAGTGGTTCTCTTCACCACCCTTGGCTTCCCTCAGTTACCATCTCCTGACATTCAGTCTCGTCACGATCTCACATGCTTATGAGTTTGCCTTTTAATGAGTTTACTGTGTCAACTTCCAAACTGTGTTGATCTTTTATAATCATAAATATGTAAAATAAAGCTCACAATCTGAGTAATAAACAGAAAGATGGCACCAGAAAGTTTTAAGCTAGGGAAAGGCAGCGAAGACCACACTCAGTTCCTAAGTACCTACTAAATCAGTGTACTTTCTTAGAAGAATTTGTATTGAGTTACTTTGAATAGATGAAAGGTTTCTATTACAGCTGTTACACAGATACCATAAGGAACTAAAGAATCTTAGAGTGGGATTTAGAAATGCAAATCACAGAGTAATAATATTAAAGAACAAATGTTATTTTTAAATCTTCCATATAGTTACATTTACAGGTGAATTTTTCAGAGAGGAATCATTTTCTGTGTTATATGAACCATCCTGCAAACTGAAAAAGATAGTAAATTATATTTACAAAATATCACTCTGATGTAAAACTCTAACAAAGGTGAAAATAGACAACTATAGGGACCAGCAGATGGAGTCATAGTTACATTGCTGGACTCTCATGTAGTTGACCGTGGTTCAAGTCTCAGCCCCAGTGGCTTAAACTCATGCAGGGCGCCTATGTGTGTGTGTATGCCCAAGATCCCAAGAGGAGAACGAAGAAGAAGGGATTGCAGCATGGTCATGCCCCCTGGGGAGTGATTTCTTGCTTTCTGTCTTTCTGGTGACCGCACGTGCCCTATAGCAAAAACCTCTCTTAAGAAAAAAACAAAAAACAAACAAAAAAAACCCCCCCATTTTAAAAAAAAAAAAAAAAAAAAAAAACTATATAATTTAGCTTCCAAATCAATTATTGAAATGCCAGACACTGTACTAGGTGTTTTACAGACATTATTTCTTTGAATCTTACTGAGATTGTGTATTACTATTTCTGCTTTACAGACAGTGAAAATCTCTGAAAAGATAATTATCTAAAACAATGTGGTCATTAAATGCAAAGCCCAATGAAATTCAGCTCTGCTTTTCTGTGACACCACGCTTCCTACTGTACTGCTTCTGCACTTCTTTTTTTTTTTTTTTTTGGTTTGTTTTGTTTTGGCTATAGGGCATGTGCGCTCACCAGAGAGACAGAAACAGAGAGACAGAAAGCGAGAAATCACCCCCCAGGGGGGATGGCCACGCTGCAATCCCTTCTCCTCCATTCTCTTCTCGGGATCCTGGGCACACATGCATATGCGCCCAGCGTGAGTTTTAAGCCACTGGGTCTGGGAGTCGAACTGCAGTTGACTACATGGGAGTCCAGTGACATAGCCATTATGCTAACTGCTGGTCCCCTTGCACCTTTGATGTAGATACACTAACATTTAGCAAATACTTAGCAAAGTCTTTCTTTTTTTTAAGAGAGATTTTTGCTATAGGTAATGCATTTGCCTTTACCAGAGAGAAAGGGGGGCAGAAAGCGAGAAATCACCCCTCAATGGGGATGGCCACATCTCAATTCCATCTTCTCTATTCTCCTCTCAGGATTTTGGTCACACATGCCCACACACTCATCATGAGTTTTAAGCCACCAGATCTGGGATTCAAACCATGGTTGGCTTTGTTGGAGTCCAGTGACATAACTATTATGCCATCTGGTGGTCCCAGCAAAGTTAATTCAAAAAAAAAAAAATGCAGATGATATTTTCTAGTGATAAAATAGGACATGCATGGTAAAAGCAATAAACATACAGGAGACATTTGATAAAATTTAGCACAACATTCTATTTCTAAAAAAGGAAGTAAGGGTGTTTAGTCAACCTACTGAGGCATATCCGGTTCAAATCAACTATAATCAATCCTTTAGTGAACCATTAAATGCCTCACTTCAAAATTAGAAACAAAACAAAATAGCTATCATGTTCATTTTGAGCAATGTTTTGTGAGTTCTAGCCAAAGAAATCATACATAAAATAAATGGTATAAAGATGGGGAAATTGAGGACCCACAGTTAGCGTAATGGCTATGTCACTGAACTCACATTGTAGTCGACTGCGGTTTGAGTCCCGGACCCAGTGGCTTAAACTCATGCTGGGCGTGTGTGCGTGCATGCCCAAGATCCCGAGAGGAGAATGGAGAAGAAGGGTTGCTGCATGACCATCTCCCTGGGGGGTGATTTCTCGCTTTCCATCTGTCTCTCTCTGTCTTTCTGGCGGGCACACATGCCCTATAGCAAAAACCTCTTAAAAAAAAAGAAACTCACATGTACCTGAGAAAATTTTCAACCTCACAAACACAGTGTACAGATTCAAAAGTGAGAAGGCATTTTGCTTATCAGATTAGCAGTGACTTATTTTTAAAATTATTTTTAGTTGCTATTGGACATGTGCACTCATCAGAGAGGGAAGGTGAGGAAGCAAGCTGCCAGGTGCAGAACTCAAACCATTCATGTGGGAATGTGGGAGTCCAGCACCTTAACCATCAACCAATCATGCTTGTCCCAATGGTGATTATCTTTTAAGAGAGATTTTTTTATAGGGCCCATGCACTCGCCAGAGAGAGAAAGAAAGAGAAAGGGAGAACTCTTCCCCCAGTCAGTATGGCCAGGCTACAATCCCATTTCCTCATTGTGCATGCATGAGTTTCAAGCCACTGGTCTAGGACTCAATCGCAGCTGGTCATGTGGGAAGCCAGCACCTTAACCAATACGCCTCCTGCTGGCCCCCAGTGACTTATTTTTAATGTTCATAATGTTTGCGAATGTGGAATGAAATAGAAAGTTTTATATATTATCAGTGAGAATATAAATTAGTATAATAATTTCATTTTTTGCTTGTTTTATTTTTTCTAGCTTTCTTAGGTATAATTGACAAAAATTGCTTATTTCAAGTGTACAGTATGATTTGATTACATACATAATGAAATCACCATACTCAAACACATTCATCACCATAGTTACCATTTTGTATGGGTGGGGCAGAGGTGAAGATAATTAAGATCTGCTTTCTTAGCAAATTTCAAGTATGCAGTACAGTACTACTAACTATAGTCACCATGCTTACATTAGATCCCCCGAATTTATTATAACTGAAAATTTGTATTTTTTAACTAATATCTTTTCATTCCAACCAGCCCTAGCCCCTGGCATCCACCATTCTATTCTATTCTATTCTATTCTATTCTATTCTATTCTATTCTATTGGAGTTTCACTATATTAGATTCTGCATATAAATAAGATCACACAATACTTGTCTTTCTGTGTCTGGTTTATTTCATGTAGCATAAAATCCTTCAGGTTCATCCATGTTATTGCAAATGGCAGATTTTCTTTCTTTTTTGAGGGCTGAATAATATCCCGTGGGAGCCAGCAGGTGGTATAGTGATGAAGGTGCTGGACTCCCACATCTTCGACCATGGTTTGAGATGCAGTGGCTTGAAACTCACACCAGGTACATGTGTATTCATGCCTAAAATCTCTAGAGGAGAATGGAGGAGAAGGGATTGTGGCGTGACCATCTCCCCAGGGGGTGATTTCTTGCTTTCTATCTGTCTTTCTGGTGAGCACATATGTCCCATAGAGGGGAAAAAGTATTTTTATGTGCTTTGCTAATCTAAAGCCAGCTTTAGGCATAATAAAGTTCATTATAACACTATTATTTGCAAAAATATGAGCATGGACAAAATGTCCAACAATAAGGAATCCAAACTAAACTACCTTAAGCTACATTTATTGATTGCATATTACTCAGCCTTCGAAGATGATGTAATGACCTGAAAAATGTACACAGCATAAAGTTAAATGTGGGGGAGGGGGGCATCAGAGTACAAAATTTTCCATGCCCATTTGGTCAAAATTCTATAAAAAGTATGCATAATGATTATGAGAAGGAAAAAATACTCAGGATCACAGAATTGCAAATATTTAATTTGAATTCAGATTGGAATCAGTCTGATCCCAAATATGTGTGTGTATATATATATATATATATTTCACTATATTCACGCATTGCTTCCTCACTTTTGAATATCCATGCGGCAAACATAAAACAGTTAACAACAGGTCAAAAATCCAATAATTCATGACAATCCAATATAACAGATTTTTGCCACAAGAATGAATTAAGCAAAGTTATATCTACCTTATATCATAGGAATTTCAAGTATTAAAAGCCAAATGATCATTTCAATAGATGTAGGAAAATACTTGGGAAAAATTAATACCTATCCTTAAGAATCTCTAAAATTTAGACTAGAAAATGCTTTTCTACTATAGTGAAACTCTTCCTTTTCAAATTAATACCCATCATGTTCAATGCTCTGATGTAAGACACAATAGAATCTGACTAGCAAATTCTTTAAAGCTAGCAGTTAAGGTACACCACAGTCAAATAAATTTCAAGCTCCAGTGGCTTTGAAAAAAG